TTTGACTTCCAGCCATGGATAAGTCTAGCTCTTCACCTATTTGGGTTTCCTTTAACTTCTAAGCAATGCTTTGCAGTTTTCTGTTATAAGCCTTTTATGCTTTTCAGATTTGTCCACATTAATTCATGTTTTTGATGCTGCTATAAATATTTTTTAGTTGTTTGCTCCTCGTATCAGGAAATAAAACAGATGTTTGTACATCGCTCTTCTATCTTGCAACTTTTTCTTGTAGCTGAAGTCCCTTTCCGTGCAGATTCACCTGAGTTTTTAGTAAGAACATCCATGAAATCTGTGGATAAAGACAGTTTTCCTCTTTCCCTTCCAGTCTGGGTGTCTCTTGTTCCTTTTTATACTAGCGGCCTTGGCAAGAGCCTTCGGTAAAGTATTAATACAAGTGGCAGAGGGGAAATCTTTGCCTTATGCTCAATCTTAGGGGACAGCATTCAGTCTCTGACCACCAAGCTCGATGTTACCTGTGGGCACTTCTGTAAATGATAAATGCCTTTCTAGCAGGTTACGAAAAGTTTATTTTATTCTTATCTTAGTTTGCTGAGAGTTTGTTAGATCAGATATAATGTTGAATTTTGTCAAATATTTTTCTGGGTCTATTGAAATACGATTTTTCTCTTTTAAAGTGTTAGTCTGGTAGACTAATTTGATTGATTTTAGATATAAAACCAACTGTACTTTCCTAGGATAATTTTGTCTTAACTTGATATATTTCCCCCTTATAGAAGAAGGTGCCGGATTTTATTAGGTAAAATTGTGCTTAGAATGTTTATCTACGCTCACAAAGCATAATGGTCCATAGTTTATTGTGCATGTCCTAGTCCAACACTGGCCTTGGGGTGCTGCTGGGCTCATGGGAGCTTGAAAACTTTGCCTTTCACTTCCCATTTGCTGGGTTAGTTTGTGTGGAATTAGTTTTTTCTTTTTTTAAAGTTTAGTGCAATGCATCGACAACTCCATTTGGGACTGGAATTTCCTTCATGGGAAGGGAGCTCAGCGAAAATTCCATTTTTAAACCACAAATGGTATTACATGGCTTCCTTGTCTCCCCTTGAGGGAGGTCTGGTGGTTGGGTCTTACAAGGAGCTTGTTCATCCCGTCTGAGATGCCAGATTTGTGTCAATTTTTAGAAACGGTTTATGTAATGTTCCCCGATTGTCTTTTAAATATCTGAGTAGTGACATTATGTCCCTTATTCATAATGCTTTCTCTCTTTTTCATCAGTCTGGCAAGACTTTCATTAATTTTTTGATCTCATAGAATCAAATTATAGTTTCACTGATTTTGTTTTGCTTTGGTTTTCTGTCTAGTTCACTGATTTCCCCTCTGATTTATCTGATTTCTTCACTTAGTCTGGGTTAGACTGCCCGTTGTTTGCTTCCAGTGTCTTAGAAAAGGTCAGCTCTCTGTCTTCAGTGGCTGCTTGGGGCCATAGGGTGTCGGACTGCAGAGTGACCCACGCCGGCCACGAGGCGGGTTGGGCTCCGGGCACGTCTCCCAGACAGACGGGAGAACAAGGGTGTGCGCGTGCGTGAGTGCAAGGTCTCTGGAGATTCTTCACCTGCACAAAGGAGAGATCATCGTCGGGGGTGGGGGATGGTAACCGGGTTGTTTTTGTCTGGTAGAGACGGAAGATGCTCCATCTGTCAGGATGGGCAAGCTCAGGACCACCTGCGGGCCCGTTGAGGAGGCCGTTGGATGCTCCTGAGTGGAAAGTGCTGGAGTTACAGCATCCATGTTCAGTGGGTTTGGATTGTCCCCAAAACCCAACTTCCCTCATTAATAAAGGAACTAAACAAGTAACATCTTTGAACATGTGTTCATCTTACATTTTCTTGACAGCCATGACCTTTCCTTTTACACGGTCTCCATTTACCAGAGCCGGGCGGCGGCAGGTGCAGAAGCTGGCGGAAGGGGCACCCGCTCCCGAGGGGTCGCGGAGGGCAGACGCTGGCCACACACCCCGTCTAACCGAGCAGAATGTTGTCCTGGCCCCACAACCAGCACACTTCCTGCATCACCGGCTCCATCCCCGAGCCTCAGCTGACCAGGAAAACGGGTCAAAACACCACACCAAGGACATCACAAGCGTGGGTGGGCGAGGAAACGAATGAGCAAATACTAGGGGGTCCACTGGGGGATCTGGATCCAAAACACCCACTTTCCGGGCCCACCTCCAGGCCTTGGGACCTCCTCCTGGCACTGCGTCCCTCTGTCCTCGGCCCACCCAGGGGCTGCGGGGAGCCGGGGGTCTGGGGCACGCAGGGAGGCTGTGACCCCTGCTGGGACCCATGGCCTTGCGGTGCCCGAAGCCTGCTCCCAGCACTGCCTCGGAAATCTAGGTCCCTGGGCCCCTTTCCGTCCCTTTGATTCTCTCCTCGCCGCTATGTACGAGGCATTCCAGACCGCGTCCGCAGTAAGAGTAGCACCTTCCAAATACCAAAATGTTCAGGCTTGTTCAAATGCTTCTTATCTGCCGGGGGTGGGGTGGGGGGAACAATGAAGTGGCCCTGTGGCAGGGCCACGGGACCTAAATCACCCTCTAAATGGAGCCGTACTCTCAGGTGCCTGGGTGGCTCAGTCAGTTAAGGGTTTGACTTTGGCTCATATCATGATTTCATGGTTCGTGAGTTCAAGACCCGCCTCAGGCTGTGTGCTGACAGCTCAGAACCTGGAGCTGCTTCAGATTGTCTCCCTCTCTCTCTCAAAAATAAATAAACATTAAAAATCAGTGTGTAAACAAACAGATGGGGCCCTACTCTCATTAGGATTAAATTATTGGGTTGGAGGGGGCAGCGGACTTTCGGGCAGGCGGTCCAGCCAACAGGAGAGGCCGGCACCAAGCGACAGGACGTGCTGGCTCCCGCCTGGGGCCCTGCACAACCCGCGGTGACCAGGAAACGCCTCCCGCCTCTGCCCTGCTCCTTGTCCTCTGTGTTTGTGTCAGCCCATGGCGAGCAGCAGAGGACTGGCTGCAGATACAGGGCTGGGGCCCTGCTGGGCAGAGACACATGTGCACACTCAGAGGGGACCCTCCATCGCGGGTGGGCAGGGTACCTGCAGATGTTGGTGGAGACGGGACGGCGCAGGAGGGGGTGAGGGCCACCAACCGCCCCGGCAGTTCCGCGGCACATGGGGTGGTGCTGGCCTTGGTGCTCACAGGATCACCTGGGAACGCATACAAAGAGTGCTGGTCCCTGGGGTCAGGCAGGGTCCTGGGGGTTGCTTCCAGACACAAGATTTTTAACAATATTGACTCAAATGTGAGATCCTTGGGTTCCTGTCTGTATCTCTACATGGACCCACAGCCCTCATGGCCACAGGTGCTGGCTCCACATCTGTTTCTGTAACCAAACGCAGGCGTTCACTGGGTGGAGGGCAGGGTATCCGTCCATCCATACGTCCATCCAGCACCTATTTTTAAAATTCCCGTATGAAGTTTCTAAGAAGCACAACGAGATGAACAATTCAGGCGCCCAGTGGGGCAGGAGCAGGGGCTGCGTCCTCTGGGGCCTTGGGAGACACGGGACCCCTTCCTACCACTGGACCCTCCAAGATGCCCCCTTGTGTCTGGGGCAGACACCTCCCACCCCCACGGCTTCCTCTCACTGAGCGCTAACTTCCTCAACATGCCCACCCCTCTCTGACCCCAGAGCGAAGCTAACCGTGCCCCAGGCCCCGGAGCGAAGCTGGCGGCAGATGGTGTTCCTGACAATCCACTGGCTTGTGACCTCATTCGGCAAAATCTGCCCCACAGGCTGCCCGCCCGCGCTGGGCCCACGTGGCTCCGGCAGGTTCCGGCAGGCACCCCGCAACCAGAAGGAGAGATGTTCTACGCAAACATCAGGATCTCAGAGCTCAGCTGGGTGGGGACGGGAGGGCTGGCGTGTCTGCAGGATGGCAACCCTCTCGGAGCGTCGTCCTGCGAGCCCAGAGGCAGACCGCCCGACGCAGACACACAGACCACGTGCGGCTGTGAGGCCTCAGGTCTTGTTTTGTTTTCTTAAATTCCAACAGGATACTGCTGGAATAATTACAATTCAGGTGCACTGATGTGGATAAAATGCACGGCACTTTGCACGTCACACAGCATCACACGTACTTGATGCTGAAACAGGAGCAGCCGCAGTGATGCTCAGCCGGGGACCCCAGGCCCGCGCACGCGCCGAGAGCCACTGGCCGCACGCGGTCTCCTAGTGAGAACTCACGCTTCCACGAGAGGCGCCGTCTTCTCAGCGCCAGAGCTGACGCGGGAGGCGGCCGCACGGCTGGTGGAGAGATCCCTCCCCGACGTCACTGCGTGGACCTTCTGCCCCCGTGAGGGTCCCGCCGTTCACGACGCCGGGGCCGGGACACCTGCCTGCTCACGCATCTGGACGCACGCTGATGCACCGCGCGTGCACGGGCGGAAACGCCGCCACGTGAACTACTTCGTATCCTCCCTCGGGTCCTGACGGTCGGGAGCAAGGGCCACCGAGTGCCTCAGCTGTGACACACGTGCAGACGCCTTCACGACGGATGACACACCCGCGCTGCTGGCTGGGAGCAGTCTGCGGGCTGCTCACCGGGGGCGTGGCCTCGGGCAGCTCATCCGGGGCGTGGCCTGTGGGCCTAGGCTCACCGGGGGCGTGGCCTCGGGCAGCTCATCCGGGGCGTGGCCTGTGGGCCTAGGCTCACCCGGGGCGTGGCCTCGGGCAGCTCATCCGGGGCGTGGCCTGTGGGCCTAGGCTCACCCGGGCGCGGCCTCGCGGAGCTCATCCCGGGCGGGGACGTACCCCCCCCACGCACAGAAACCCCGTGGCTCTGCACACATCACGCGTGACGGAGACGCAGAGCCCCCGCGCTCCCCTCGATGACCCGTCGCCTGCCGCGGACGCTGACCGGGTGGCTCAGGTCAGCGTGCTCGCAGCTCACAGCCTCACTTCCCGGCACGGCTGCACCAGTGGCGAGGCCGGGCCCACCGAGTCTCCCACGGGGCCGCGGGCGCTTACCCGGCTTCTCTGCACCTCCATGAACGTGGCTCTCTGGAAAGACCTCTCCCAGGCGGCCAGCTCGCTCCCCAGCTCCACGCTGAAGACGCGACTCAGGCCGCGGCCCACCAGGACGCAGAAGCCGAGGCCGGGAGGGCCCAGCAGGCCGCCCTCGCAGACCTAGAAAACAGAGCCCGTCGGGGCGTTAGCGCGGGAGGGGGGCCCGACCCGGGCCGCTGTTCCCCCGCCGCGCGGGGAGCCTCGTTCAGGGCAGCTGTGGAAGCGAGCCCGAAATAGACACAGATTTGGGTAAGTTCCTTGCGGGGCAGCGTTCACTTAAGGTAACCACAGCGTCCCCCTCAGCGGCTCACTGGAAGGTCAGGTCACGGGACGTGGGTGCCCGGGTCTGGCATAAACGCGGTCATCCGCAGCAACACGGGCCCCAACCGGCCCCTCGCCGCCGGCCTGAGGGCATCACCGGCTCTTCTGTCCTGGGCAACAGAACCCCCTGCTCAGAACCCCTCCGCACCACCGCAGGGCCCCCAGCCATCCAAGACCTGCTTCCGTCACCCCAGGGGCCTGGCCACGCAGAATGTCTGGAAACATCCTAAAAAGCAAGGTTAAGGCAGAGGGACCCTGGGTGCCCTGGGCTCTGCACACAGGCCTCAGGTGTGTGCACTTCCTTCCAGAGGGGTGACTCTGGGCCTCACTGGTCTCAGAGGTCCGCGCAGCCCAGGGCTGGATGCCCAGCTGAGGCAGGGCTGTAGGCTGTGTGTGTGTGTGTGTGTGTGTGTGTGTGTGTGTGTGTGTGTGTGCGCGCGCGCGCGCGCGCGTCTCTGGCTGGTCTCTCCTCCCTCCGTGTGTGCTGGCCTACACCTGCCCCTCATCCGCTCTCTGCTTGCACGCACACATACGCACATGTACACGTATACAAGCTTGCACCCGTTCTCTATTCCCAGCATATGCTGGCCTGCACCTGCCCCTCATCGGTTCTCTCCATAGGATTCATGCACACACACACATCACATGCAGTTGCACACACACACGTACCTCAGATGTGTGGAAAGCTGCGTAAAAGCCAGAATGGGATAATGAAGAACTTTTGTAAAATAAAGGAAAAAGAAATAACATTTTCCTCTAAAGCTATTTTGTGGAATATTGATGAATGAAAATCTACATGTATAAATTATCATGAGAATAACTTCAACATATTGTTTACCTCTACCACTGTAATAATAGTATTATGCGAACATGTTTCCGTTGTATGTGTTGTTATTACGTGCAGCCTAAAGTTCCAGATCTAAATTTAAAATTATTTTTGAGACTACTTTCCATTTAAGGAGGCAAATCAAAATTTAAAACATTGAAATTTCTTTTGAAACTTCTAATTTTTGGTTATTGACTCCTTCGGGTCAAATTCTCAGACAAAACACTAAAAACAGCATCGCATGTTTGTACCTTTTCACTTCCATACAGACTCCCTACTTTGCTGTACACACTCCCATGTGAGAAAGACACAGGAGCGTCCGTGCGGGGGCTCAGCGCTGTCCTGTACCAGGACTCGCACACGGCTGCCTCGCCTCGCAGAGAGGCTCAGACCTTCAGGGTGAGCCTCAGCCCTGACGCAGCCTCATCCACCGCGAAGTCAAAGCTCTCCCTCCGTCCAGGCTGTTTGGCTGGAAGAGAGTAGTCCTGGACGGATATGTCCCAGAATGAAGGGAAGCTCCTCGCTGGTAGGACACATCGCCCAGACTCACGCCGCAGACAACGTGGTCAGGGCTCGCTGCTGGCCTTTTCAGGGCAAGGCTAGGGACAGCCTTATTCCAAGAACATGTAAGTCACTTCTGATACCTTGCTGAAGCCTGCGGGCTGAGCAGCTCCCTTCCCCCCGCAATAAGTGTCATCTGGCCATGTGCAGCCTGCTCCCCTGTCCTGCCGAAGCCAGGGCTTTGTGTGGTCTCTTCCTGCCCATGTGCACCTTCATATCACATAGAGGATGTATCGTATGTCATATGTGTCATATCTTACATATATGTTTAGTGACCCGCTTCTCACCAGCACGATATGGTAGAAACAGTGTGCTGTCTCTGCTGGAGACAGCAGCCTCTGGCCAAGTCAGCAAGGAGCTGAGCACCCCAGGCCAACATCTTCCGGCACCCGAATTCCACTGCCCTCCACCCGTGGGCCTGCTAGCAGGCCCTTCCCCAGCGCAGCATGGGGTTGGGTCCATCCGTCATAGACGGAAATCCGAGTCCTCTCGCGAGTAACTGTGGCAGGGACGCTTTCTGAGATCATGGGTGTTGTCTGACACACCCAGGGGCCTGGGCCATCTGTTTCTCAGCAACAGACCTGGCACACAGGGCAGCTCTCTCTGACTTTACACTTCAGTGCATGAATTAACTGAGCAAATGAGTTTCAACTACAGTGGAAAGGGAGTGAAAAGGCAGCATTTAAGGAAGAAACAGGGGAGCCTGAGTGGCTCAGGAGGCTGAGCGTCTGACTCCTGATTTCAACTCAGGTCATGATCTCACGGGTTGTGGGATTGAGCTCTGCGCTGGGCTCTGTGCTGACAGTGTGAAGCCTGCCTGGGATTCTGTCTCTGCCCCTCTGTCTCTCTCTGCCCCTTTCCCGCTCACTTACTCTCTTTCTCAAAATAAATAAATAAACGTTGAAAAAATAAAGAAATGAAGGAGGTATAATTAACATACAATTAAGATCACTACTGGAATTATTAACAAGTAATATGCTCATGGGTTTGTAAAGGTTGTTAATATAACAACACCTCTCTTCACCAAGGTTCTCTGTAGCTCAGTATCCAATGACTCAAAGGAATTTGTGCGTGCAGTAAAAGGATACTTATTGACAAAGAGCTGTCAACACATAAATACTGCACACAAGACGCTAGACTTAGCTGCAAATTATCACCAAGGAAGCTTAAAAACAATACAGATGTCTGGGCCACATCTCAAATAAAATGAAACCGTGCGCTTTGCTCGAAAGCCCCCTCCGGGTGATTGTGATGTAAGATGAGACTGAGAATCACTGGCAGTGCGTCCCAGGCCCTGTGGTGACAGAGAATCACAGCTCCCAGCATGCAGAGTGCAGGAACAGATCTCAAAAATGCTCCCAAAAGGCCGTGTTTGGTGAGCCCTTCCCTATGGCCAGGGCATGTGGTCATCACACAATTTACACAACCCTGCAGAGGATCATAGAATAGAGAATACGACAGGTTATTATGCCCGCATTTTACAGATGAGGAAGCTGAGGCATAAAGAAACAAAATAAAATTCCAGGTGGTGGAGTCAGCTCCGTCTACATCGAGGGCACGCGCTTCACACACAACCATGAACCCTCTGAGCCCCGTTCACCTGGTGCATTTATCTCCTGCTGTGCCCTGGGGGTTGGCCGGACGTCAGCGGGTTGGGGACAGCTGGCCAATGGCTCTGCTGCTCGTATCTCCTCCTCTATGATGGGCAGTGACGGCCCTGGCTTCTCACTGAGCAGCGGCAGGGGGCCCGAGACCAACCCTCCCCACCTGCCAGCGCACAAGTCACAGCTGGGAGCACCCCTGGACCAGAAGCAGGTGCCCCTGGGCCACCGGGACGGGGTGGGACTGCCCTCCTCCCGCCTGGCAGAGTCCCCTGAGCCACTCAGTGACCAGGTTTCTATTTCAGGTTCCACTTCCCAACCTGTCTGTGTCACTTAGTGTAACCTAACACCTGCTAAAAGCCCATCTGTGAGATAGCGTGTCTCCCAGGCGTGTGGCCCAGTGGAATCCCTGCTCAAATCCCCAGGGGTCTCCATCTCCGACAGGTCAACACGTGACAACAAGCGCAAGCAAGCAGGAGTCATACAGAGCGCTCCCGGGAAACCTCGACCCCTGAGCTCTGACCCCACGAGTCCCCAATGAGGCGTCAGCCCAGCAGAAACGGAAACCGTGTTTTGTGGCAATGGATTCGCCACTTTGGAATTGTTCAACTAAACTTGATGATTCCGGAAACTTGGGATGGACACTATAGGTAAAACTTTTGCCTTTCTTAACCAGTGAATACTTTCCCTCTAGCAGAAGTGGACTATTTGGTTAGTCATTCTGGTCACCTCAGGCCGGACTTTGATAAGGAAAGCTGGGGTTTGTATCTGACCTGTTAAAAACAATGGAAATGGCAATGATAAACCAAAGATCTTAGAACATATTATTGTAAGTGGCGGGGACTAGAACACCCCCTCCTCAGTACATGTGCACATACACACTTGTGCGCACTCTAGCCATCCACTGGTCCACCAACCCATCCATCTACCTACCCACCAATCCAACCATCCATCCATCCATCCATCCATCCATCCATCTTCATGAACAACAGAATGGCAACTTTCGGGATGGGGAAATGTTATGAATACAGAAGATTTTCAGGTTCTCTTACTATCTCAATGGACTCTTTAAACCCAAAGGCGCATCTTACTTATATGAAAGCATCTACTGTGCAAAGGATACCTACCTTGTGAAGTTTAAATAGTACCTCACAGAGGTTGTAGGTTTTTTCTGCTCGTACCCAGTCTAAGGTGCTCACCTGCAAGAAATATAAAATATACACATAAATCACAAGCATTCTCCTGATTAAAGAAAGGTAACTATGTGAGGTAACGGTTGTGTTCATTAGCTCAATTGTGGCAATCATTTCACACTGTACACATACATCAAACCATCACATTGTACATTATATATATTTACAATTTTATTAATTATACCTGAATAAAGCTGGGAAAAAAATTTTAAGTAGACATGAAAACAGTCATGCTACTTTCAGTCGGGTCAATTTAAACATTTACAGCAATGGAGTCAATATGTCTTTACCTTAGTTAAATTCTAAGCCATGAGTAGGACAGTAGGGACATTAAATCTCATGCGCGGCAGTGGATTTGACAAACGTCCCATGCGCACTGCTCCTGGGTGGGCTGCGTAAGGCACAGGTGGTAATGTGGGAGCTCGTGTACTACATGCAGTCAGGTGCAGGTTTAGAATTCGTTTTGGGGTTACTCATACATTCAATTAGGGACCAATTTTAGTCACATCAGGAAATTTACTGAGAGGGTGACTACTTTGCATGTGAGTATAGGTGAGTGCATGTGTGCTGTGGTGTGACCTGGGGATAGTGGGCTGTGTGTCCAGTCTTGAGAGCTAAGATAGACTCACTAGTCGGCTCCATTCCAGAAATGGCTGCAAATTTATTGACTTACCAATATAATTGAACATGTTTTGACTTCTGATTGTATCTCACAACTTTAACAATAATAACGATCACATCACCCAACTTTTGAATGACGTTCTATGGTTTGCAGTTCACGTTCGGTATTACGCTCTCTGCATTAAAATACTTCATGTCAAGAGATCTGAAATACTCAACCCTGTAACAAATGTTGGTTTTGGTTGCTCTCCCTGTAGTTATCTTCCAGCCATTAAACATACAAATAAGAATGAAAATACTCAGAGGTTCACTGTGTCTTTGAAACGAAAGTATGTAATGTACGCAATTGGTGGCCCTCTTGAAATCATTCCTCCAAATAAATACTGGGACGTAGTCAAGCATTTCAAGCCCATCACCTGAGAACGTTTCCCCCAACAGCTCATGATGACACAGGCATGTTCCCACTTCATATTAACTGATCCAGACTTAAGTCATTGCTTCTGTGATTTAAAAAACACAAAAAGGGGAAAATATAAAAGTGGGAAGGTCAATTACAGTCATAACTGGAAGGTAATTTTGGGATGAAGTAGAGCATTTAGGCCACAGGAATGGATGTAGACACAATGTTTAATTTTTCCAGTTATAACAAGGCTGCTTATTTTTGGAGAACCATAAAAAAGAAAAAAAATGACACTATTCAGAAGTCCTCTCTAATGAGTTCCCTGTTGTCAACGTGTATGGCTGTGCACACTCGTTCCATGTGCATCTGCCGTTGTCCCTTCTCTGGTTCAGCCAAAGCACAGACACAAAGTACTCCCAAATTTCCGCTTCATGTAAATTATCTCCGGAATATTTGTGATGCGCAGCAGGGCTCCTTCCACCTTTTTATTAGTTATGACTCTAGAAACTAACTGTCTCAATCCGACACGAAAGCCAACAACCTCCCAGGGAGGGACCGTCTGGGACATGGCCACCTGTGATAACCAGGTCAGCATCTACCGAATTGGTGTGACATCTACATATATTTGTACACTTAGAAGGGAAACAGGGAGTTCAGAATCGGAGGTTTAAGGACGGTGGTGAGTGAAATCTCCGAGGCAGACATTCCTGGAGTTTTGAAGTAACTGAACACAGCCAGGGGTCACCTGTGGGGTTCGTTCTGATGCAGGTTCCTGGCCCCACGTGGCTGATTCAGACCGAGCAAGTGTGGAGAGGGGCTCAGAGATCTGATTTTACATTTAAGGAAACTTACTGTTGAGGCCATGTGAACCAGCAGCAGCACATGGGAATGTGCTAGAAATGCAGTATCTCAGGTCCCACCGCAGACTGGCCAGATCAGAATCCTGTCTTAAAAATACATATGGGTGGGGCACCTGGGGGGCTCAGGTGGCTGAGGGTCCAACTCTTGGTTTCAGCTCAGGTCATGATCCCATGGTGGCATCGAGCCACATGTCAGGCTCCACACTGAGCACAGAACATGCTTGAGATTCTCTCTCTCTCTCCCTCTCTCTGTCCATCCATCCCGCTGGTGCGGGCGCTCTCTCTCTCTCTCTCAAAATAAATAAATAAACTAAAAAAAAAATGTGCAGGTGATGGTTCTGTTGTGATGATATCTAAAGAAAATAATCCACAGGTAAAAAGTGTAACCCCTTTTAAAAGGACAATGGGGACAGGAAGGACGGATAGTCATTTACAGACAGATGCATATTCAATCAGAACTCCCTGCTTTGCAGACTAGATGCTCCACAACATGACCTCCTTATTTCAGGGCCTCCAGTGCAGCCGGCCGAGGACCTGCCCTGCTTCTCGGGAGGGGTAAGAACTTCTGACAGAGAGGGATGTGGAGCGACACTCAGAGCCGTCACCGCGTCTGCCTCTCTCCAGAGAAATACTTTTCTGGGACGGGAACTAGATGTGATCCCTTGATCCTTACACTCCTTCCTGGTGACTGGGAAATTATGAAAGGGGAGAATGATCCCAGCTGACACCTCAGTGTTTCCAGCCAGCAGGCAACAAGGACTTTGCAACGTGGAAGAAGAACATGAAGCCTTGTACCCGCACGCCATTGCCACTTTCCCCAGGTCCTGACAGTTGATGGCCTCTGTTTCCTCTGACCACATCTGCACTGAAATGTAGCAGAAATTTTAGACTATAAGATGTAACATCTTGGTGTCTTTTAATCATATTGTGGAACACCTGCTGGGTAGCCCCAGAGGGGGCACAATTATCTAGTATTTCTTCAATTGACAAATCTTCAATTCAATTATTTCTTTCCAGGTAAAATTTTTAAATGATAGAATATATTTGCCTAATTGACATTCTTAAAGTTGCTTCTAATATTCCCTGCATATTCATAAGAAACTGCTACATAATTTATATGTTAATGCTGTAAGATGCTGTAAAATTGACTTCATAACTGTTATTAACACATTGTAATGATGTTTGAAAACACGAGTAGCTCACATTTTTTTCAGATTTCAATTTGCAAGTCAGAAATAACACGCTGGCTGGAAGGAGAGCACAGTGATGAGAATAATCCGGCTTTAATCCACACGTATGAGCACCTGGGGGGCCTGAGAGTTGGGTCGGCCCCCACCGCACACCCCTGGGCTTGGCGTCCTCTGCGCAGGACCTTGAGCTGGAAGATGCGGGCTCCCCCTCCCCCGTCTCTCTCCCAGCTTTCTGCTCTTCTTTTCCTTCTTTTGCTTCAACGTCCTCCCTTTGGCTCGACTTGGCGGAGCTCAGAAACCATCCTTGCAAACAGGACCTTCTCACGGGACGGCAACAGTGACTGCTCCCCGGGAGCCTTCTGGTCTCATTCCCAAGGCTGACAGACCAGCAGCCCTGCTCACCCACGAGAGCCTTTGTTTACCTAGTCGGTGAGACAGTCTGCCTCCCGTGCCATGTGTGCTCCCCTCAGCTCCGCGTCCGAGAGGAACCGGGCTGTGCTCCCCGCGCCTTGGCCGCAGCCGGGGCCGGAACCCGGCCTGTAGGTGTGCGGAGACTGCTCAGTAGCCGTCTCAGATCATGAGCCTCATGTCTTATGTCGCCAGAGCATAAGCCAATACATACAGATACTAAAAACTGAACGTGAGGCTGTCACAGATTGGGGCAAAGTAGAAACTGTAATCGGCACGGGGCCACAGGCTGCAGGATCCCAGTCCCAGGCCAGACCGGACTCCTGCAAACATTCAGGAATAAATTCACTTGCCATCCTTTGGGTGTTACCTTTACAATGACAAGTTGCTGGTACTAATACCAAAATTTAATCTGTTAGATTTAAATGTTGTAGAGTTTTCAAACACACCTAGGAACAGGTAAGAGCAGTTGCTCAGTGCTCGCTATGATCCCGTGGGGCGTGCCAGCGGGCATCTATGGTCGCTGTCCTCAGACCGAGGAGACTATGGGATAAGGGTGAGTATCACGCCTCGTCCCACAGCCAGCAATTATTAGTGCACAACTTACTCTACCAAACCACTCTTTCCCTAGCGTTTTTCAGAGTAAAACGTCCCCATTGTCTTATAAAATCTTCTGAGTCCCCATTTAAAAATATGCTTTTATTGCTCACACTGTCTCTCTCTCTCTCTCAAAAATAAATAAAACATTAAAAAAATATGCTTTTATTACTTTGGATAATGCCTGAAAACGATTTGTTTAAACCAGCATAATACCATTAAGTGATGGAAGAGTTTGATTTTCTTTTTCTATTTAAAAAGTTACCATGATTCTGGTTGTGCATAAGGACCTTGGGAGTCCAAACGCAACCCTGAACAGACTCTTCACGGACCCATAAGGTTGTCACGGGAGGACACGCCACACCGCGGCCCAGAGACAGGTCAGGAGGCATGGCATCCACGGCGGGGGCCACCCTGAGAGTTAAAAACTGCAGGGCAACCCAGTCACGGGGTGGGGGAGGCCTCACAACCTTGGGAGATTTATCTGCAGGACCTCAGCCAGGTTCCCACAGAACCCTTTGGGGGAAAGTCCCCTTGGAGCCATTCACAGCACCCCGGAGCCCGTTTCTGCACAAGCCCCAACTCAGGGAGGCAGGTCAGCCCGAGCTGGCGCTGCTGGGGTTTCATCAGGGCCCCGCTGCCCCGGGGAAGGGAAATACCCAACTCCGGTCTCCCCCACCCCCTGTCCCACAGAAGGGGGTAGAAAAACCAGAGAACCTTTGAGAAGGTTCAGAGTGCAGGGCTCAGCATCATGAGGGGCTGAGACATCATCCCAGGACCACAGACCCCGGCTGCCCTCACCCGGAGCATCAGGTCTGTTGGATTAACTGCCATGAGAACCCGCCCTAGCCCGTCAACTCCCAGGATGCCGTTTTGTGGAAGCGGACACGCTGGTTCTAACGCTCATGTGAGGCAAAGGACACACACAGGCAGCATCATATTGAAGGAGACAAGTTGGAAAACTGACGCCAACTGACCGCAAGACCTCCTGCAAAGCTACAGTGATCACCCCCCGTGGTGTTAGAGCCACACAGACCAGTGGATCAGAGAGAGCCGCCAAATCACACAAATATGGTCACCGACAGTTCACAAAGGGGCAACGGAGACAGAATGCAGCCAAGGCAGCCTTTCATCAAGTGACTCTGGGACATGTGGACGTCTGTGTGAAAGTCATCAATCTTGACCCAGACCTCACACCCTCACGAAAAGCTCAAAATCAATCAGAGACCTAAACGCAACATGTGAAATATGAAACTCCTAAAACATAACATCGGGGACACCTAGGTGACCTTGGGGATGGTGAAGACGGGATCCCTGGAGGGAGGAGCCAGTGACCAGGAGTGCATTAATGCTAAAAACTCGGCTCTGAGAAAGACTTAGAGAGAGAGAGAGGACAAGCCACAGACTGGGGGAAAATATCTGCAAAAGACACATCTGAGAAAGGAATGTAATCCAAAATGTACAAAGAATTCTTAAAACTCAATAGTTAGCAAACAACCTGAGTAAAAAAGAAAAAAAGAAAGAAAGAAAGAAATTGGCCTAATACCTCAACAGATGCTTCCACAGAGAAGAGACAAAGACGGCAGATAAACACATGGAGAGACGCTCCACCTCACACGTCTTCCGGGAACCACAAGTTAAAACCAGGGTGCGGCACCACCGCAGGCCGAGAAGGGCCACAGGCCGGAGCCCCGACGGCAGCAGGTGCCGGCGAGGACGCGGGGCAGGATGCACAGTGGGGCGGCCGCTTTGGGGGAGCTTGGAGGTTCCTCACAAACTAAACACACTCTCACCAGACGATCCCGCAATCACACTCCTTGGAATTTACTCAAAGGAGGTGAGAACTTATGTCCCCGTGGAAACCTGCACACGGATGCACCTTTATTCGTAATTGCTACACTCGGAAGTAACCAAGATGCCAGTCAGTGGGTGCTGGATAAATACACTGTGGGCGCCCAGACGGCGGAACCTCATTCTGCACAAAACATACATGAAAGGGCACGGAGGAATCTTACACGCGTGTCACTGAGAGAAGCAGACATGAAAAGACTGCGCACTAGAACCCCACGGGGACAGTAAGTGAGCGGTGGTTTGGGGTCAGAGGGTGGGCAGGGGCGGGGCACACGGGGTGCCAGCACAGGGAAACCACCCTGCAGGAGCTGGACGCACAGCACGGTCCAAGCCCAGAGAATGACGTTCAGCAGCAAATGTTAGAAAACACCGGTACATTTGCTCTGAGTAGAATTCCATGATTTTGTTGTTGTTGTTCAGATAACTCTTTAGCTTCAGTAAATTCAAGCGTTGGTTTATCAAAACAGGTGCAGCTAAACTCAGACTGGTGTCCTGGTGGGTCCTGGGACAGAGAGCGTCAGCACACAGGTGGCTGAGGAAGGCAGTGTCTGGTTTAGTCAGCAGGATGGACTGCTGTCTGGTTTTACTTTCAACAAATGGACGCAGCCACATTCGGTGTCAGCCTGTGGCAGAACCGGGCCCCAGAACTGCCCACACCACACATGCAGCTTTCAGGAAGTCTGAACTTGTTCCAAGTTAAAAAGCTTATTAAAATCTATTTTGATCAGTGAAAAGTTGCATTATTGTCTTGATGCCTGAAGGTAAAATGTGATTCTGTCTTTTCATTCCTCTTTATTTTTTAAAACCAGTTTATTGAGATATGATTGACATCCAACAAGTACACAAATTTAATGTATGTGCTCGATGCATGTGGAGGTGGGGATCCACCCACAAGCCTGCCTGTCACCTCACATGCCCGTCACCCCCAGACGAAGACGGCTGGTACTGGCAGGGACTGCAGAGGGGAGCCCCGTGCCCCGCTGGTGACCGTGGGCTGGCAGCCACGTGCAGGAAACAGCGCGGAGGGTCCTAAGTCATAACACTGGAGCTACCACGCGGTACAGTATTTGTGCAAAGGAAATGAAATCTGGGTGTCCGGACACTCAGACTTGCAGCCAGTGTTATTCACAACAGCCGCACGTGGACGCAAGTTCAAAGTCCATCGTCTGGTGGGCAGAGAAAGATGTGGTGCACAACACGATGGGACATTTCCCAGCCTTTAAAGGGAGGAGCCCTTTTATTTACTGTGAAAGGCAGGAAGTTCCATCAACACCACACACAGCACACCCAAAGTTTCAGGCGCCTGCAGCTCCCAGGTCCTGTCGTTCTGGGTGTGATGCTCACGTGTGAAGAAACCTCCTTCACTGATAACCGAGGCAAAGCACACACATTCTCTCTGGTTCATTCAGGGAGAAAGGCCTTGGTGCTAATTTGCAAAGCAAAGTTGCAAGCTACGGCCTTTAGCATCAGGTATATAAGGTGGGCCCTGCGGGGTCAGGCTGTTTGGTTATTTTCACAAAGCTTGGGGGATCTGAAGGAAACAACAGCTTTTCAAGTTTCGTCATCTGTGCTGTTTCTGGATTCTCTGACCACGGAACGAACAGGCTCTGTGCCCCCACCTCTGAGCTGGAGGGGGCGGGGCATATGAGCAGGAGGGGCCGCCCTGGCGCCCCGTCTCTGGCCTCCTGCGAACACCAGATCCCACCGCTGCTTCTCATCAGCACCCCCTTTCCCGCGAATGTCAAGGTGTGCTTACCGGAGCGGTGCTGAAAACATACAGCAAAGATCCTTTCAGGGCCAGGAACTTGGATCTGAAGGTCTCGTGGGAGCCAGTGCCTTCGAGTCTCTCGCTGACCCAGCCCATGTGCACAACCTGCAGAGGGAAGCCGTGAGATTAAAGCCACGCCTTTGAAAGTAGGTGCGTCCCAGGCCTGGAAATGACAGACAGGCACGCCCAGAGCCGGCAGGCTGCTCAACCCCGGATCGAGCAGATGGATGTGCAAGGTGGTGTCCCAGTAGGACCCTGAGCTCTGCAGCTGACGGGTTCCGTGTGCACATCTGGGTCCCCCGGACCTTCTGCTGCGAGTTGTGCCTGCCATGTATCTTTAAAAACACAGTATTAAATTACATCCTAGGAGGGGATAGTATTTCGGATGTGTCTATGAGTTTGTAACTGTCACCAAGTGCATTTCCCACAGTGAGCACAGAGCTGACGTAGGTGGGAAAGACAACTTTCTTTACAGCTCCACCTCCTGACGAGAGTGAAGATAAGGACAATATTTGACTCCTACAACTGGGTTTTGGGGACGCCTGGGGGGCTCAGTCAGTTAAGCGTCTGACTTCAGCTCAGGTCATGATCTCACAGCTCTTGAGTTCGGACCCCGCATCAGTCTCTGTGCTGACAGCTCAGAGCCTGGAGCTGCTTCAGATTCTGTGTCTCCCTCTCTCTCTGCCCCTCCCCAACCTGTACTCTGTTTCTGTCTCTCAAAAATAAATAAATATTAAAAATTTTTTTACAAAGTTTAAAAAAAAAAAAAGAACTGGCATTTTGTGTCCAAGCTATAATAAATCAGAATAGGATTCAAAAAGCTTAGGGAAATAGTAGTACAGCTTAAGTGTTTAGTGCATGCATTCAAACTACTGTTAAGTTGAAGTCCCTGTGTCTTACCCCAAATTTTAATGTGACACATATTTTGTAGTAAGTGCTAAGACTATTTCATTTAAATTTCCTCATTCCTCATTTCACCATGTGAGTGTTTAAAACAGTAAGTGCTTAAAACAGCTTCAGATTTAAGTAAAATGAAGAGTGAATTACCACAGACAGGCCAAGCACCTTATGAAATAAAACTGTCCCACAAGCTGCTTCGAGGTGGTGCCCCAAGGCTCAGTGGGGCACCCAGCCCGGGCTCGGGTAGGTCACTTCAACCCCTGCGGTGCACCTGACCAATTCCTGACAGCTTTCACTCTTCTGCTGGTGGAAGACGTCCTAGGTCGGATGCCAGATGAAGTTTTACAAAAAGAAATGTTTTATAAACCAGATCGTTAATCTGAAACATGTATAAATTGGACGTGAACTTAATTCCATATGTAATTTAATTCTGCCTCGATTAATTTGCAGAGAAATAACATAGTTAAGCTATTATTAGAAACGTTGCCTGCTTTATGAATCTTTTTTAGGTATATGTAGTTCATAAATAATTTCAAGGCTAGCTAATACTATCTTTTACATTATGAATTTTCTAATAGCTTATTATGCATTTCAAGAAGCATGTATTATAATTTTAGGAACACCTACCTGATTATGTCCCTATAATTAAGAGGACATAACCATTACAATAAAGGGGCATATTTTCATTTATCTTTCCTGATGCCATTTCTATAGCAAAGCCTTTGTTTTCACTGGACTGAGTCGAGAAAATTCATTCACTGTCCATGTTGTAGAACTGGCCCGTTACACCGAAGACGCCCGCATGACCTGAGAACTCAGGTTCTTTTCGGACTTGGTGAGGAAGGCATCCACATTTCCCTTTAGTCGGGTTTTCCAGATAAAATGTATTTTGCAAATGTTCAGAACTACCTGCTGTTTTATCAGGGGCCCGTATTCTGGTTGGGCCGGGACAATTTTCAACGCCTGCCCGTGCTGTCAGCCCGGCCGTCATCCCAGGAGGACCTCCCTCGCTGTGGCCGGTGAATCATGCGGCCTTCTTACTGACTAAACACAGGACTCTAGAAACATCTGTACTTGGTCTTTTGTATGACCTTCTGATTCTGTCTTGCATCCGTCTTTGTCCATTTCAGTAATTCCCAAATACGTTTATTTTTAAAAATATTTATTTAACTAGTACGTCTTTGCTATATACCAAAACCAGGAAGTCACTGTTCATTATGAAAAACACATCCCTTCTCCTAAGGGCCCCACGTCACAAATCTAACCTCCGGTGACACGTCCTAAGTGCCCAGTTTTTGGAGAACATGTGAGCGAACCCCCTACCGGAAGCACCGTGAGACAAGGCTGGGAAGTCAGCCCGCACAGTAAAGCGCAGCTCTACCATTTCTTCCAAATGAACTAATTTGAGCCCCTGAAGAAAAAAGAAGTTCAGAGGCGCCTGGGTGGCTCGGTCTGCTGAGCGTCGGACTTGGGCCCAGGCCGTGATCCCCGGTTCCTGAGTGGGAGTCCGAGCCCCGCGCTGTGTGGACGGCGCGGAGCCTGAAGGGGCTTCGGATCTGGGTCCCCTCCCCCCCACCCCCGCTCCTCTCCCGCTCGTGCTCTGTGTGTCTGTGTCTCTCAAATGTAAAGAAACACTAAAAAAAAGTTGAAAACAATACAGGCATTTTGAGGTTAGAAAGAAGTCTTTAGGGTTCCCCTTCCGCTTGCAGATCCTGCGGGAGAAGCTGTGGCTCAGGTGGTGACTGGACCAAAGGGCGTCGCCGGCGAACGGGCTGCTGGGGGCTGGAGGCCGGCCTCGCGGCGACGCGGCGTGGCTCGCGGCGGATCTCGGATCTCGCGAGGCCACAGAGGCTCGCGGCGGATCTCGGATCTCGCGAGGCCACAGCGGGGCCGGGGGACGCGCCGCCCCGCGGGTCTCCGCACCCAGCTGCCTCGTGCTCTCGGCATCGGGCGCTCTGCTCCTTGGATGGCTTGAAGGGTCCCTGAACCCGATTTCCTGGTTTTCTGTCGTGACCCTTGCGGCTTCGAAGTGAAGCGCGGCGCGCTCTCCCTGCCGGGCGGGCGACGCAACGGCGCCCTGAAAGCCGGGGGCGCGCCTCCACACCCGGAAGTTCAAGCCCGCGGCGCGGCTCGCTGTGCGCGTGCCCGCGCGCGTGCCCGCGGCGGCCAGCAGGTCCCGGGAGGGCCCCGCCGAACGACGGAAGAGCGGAGCTCTGGGTCACCCGCCGGCCGTCCCTCTCTCCTGTGGCCTCGGGAGACCCGCCGATCCGCCATGAAAACGACTCCGTGGGACATTTTGCTCCTTTAGAAATCCAGCTGCAGAACCGTGACTCACTCCGGGGGGAGGAGAGGGCCGCCCTGTTCGTCTGCGCACCCCCAGCCTGGAGAAGACACGCTGACGTGTGGACGGCGGCTCTGCCCGCCGCGAGCGTCCACGTCAGAAACGGCGTGGGCCGGGAAAACGGCATTTCCCGCACAGGACTATGCGATGAATCGTATCTGAGTTTGGAGACATCTACGGGGCTGTCACTCACTAAATAATTAAACAGCTCACCCCCTCACGCAGCTCCCTGAGGCAAAAACACATAAATTCAGAAAAAATCTTACAGGCAATAAAAGTTACATTCAGAGCAGCTTTTAGAATTCTCCTTGGAGTTCTCCTAGAGAACTCCTTAGAGTTCCTTTTCTTTCTCTTTCTTTTTTAATGTTTACTTATTTTTGAGAGAGAGACAACGCATGATCAGGGGAGGGTCAGAGAGAGAGGCACAGAATCTGAAGCAGCTCCAGGCTCCGAGCTGTCAGCACAGAGCCCGACTCAGGGCTCGAACCCATGAACCGTGAGATCATGACCTGAGCCGAAGTGGACGCTCAACCAACTGAGCCGCCAGGCGCCCCTTGAGTTTCTTTTCTAATTACAGACGTGCACTCGCGGGTTGACAGAGATGCAGCCCTACTTCCCCTCTTGCGCAGCTAACGTGGAGCAGCAGAGTCCGACTGTGCTGAGCCCCCGCTCTGCTCCCACATTGGTCACGAGCACCATTTCCAGCGTGTGTGAGCTCCACTTAAAGCAAACTAAGCACATTGTTCTCAGTTTTCTGCACCTCAAACCTGTGAAAGGCAAATCAGGAAACTGATGAGCAGTAAATAAAGTCTGCCCTTATAGAATGGCTTCAACTGTGACTTTTCCGTAAAGAGTGGATGACATCGTGGCTTCAAAATGCAGTTACCTGCTGCTCAAACTAGTTGAGCGTGATGGGTCACCTGAGGTGCTTGCAGACAGAGCCTGTGAGAGCCCTGAGTCGGGAAGGGGGGCGGTCAGCACACTGGCCCTGAGAAGGAGGAGGTGTGGACTTCTCACCACGCAGCCCTACAGGCGAGCCTGGGGACCCACCCACCGGCTGTAACTCCTGCTGGCCAGAGGACGCTCCAGGGCAAGGCTCTCCTCGTGAGGACGTTCTCAAAGAAAACTACACAGTGCTCAGATCACGCAGGTGTGTGTCCAGTGGAAAACTCTTTCAGCTTAAGTACTCACAATGACGCAACTGTTTAACCACACTTCCTCAGAACACATGCCGACAGCTCCGTGATAATGTGGCACGGAGGACCAGAGCCCCCGCCTGTACTGTCTCCACTAAATCTGAGCAGGTTGATGGAGTTAATGCTGAGGGAAGGACCCCTGACTTCCGTCTGATCTTCCTCCCCAGATTTCCAAATCAAGTTCCAAATCCAGGAGAAGCTACTGTAGAGACTTGTTATACGATCAACATGAAAACACGAGCCCTACCTGGTCACAAGGAGAACAGCCCTTATTTGCCATTATCATCTGTAAAGACAAGGAGGCAAGGAATCATTAGCACAAGAATATTGTCATCATTTTCCAACCCGTCCAACTGGCAAGTGAAATTAACTAGCAATGGGAAGTGTCCCTGCAAACAGTTGTTGTTGTTGTTGTTGTTTTTACGATGTGTTTCTAACCTAAAAACCAAACCAGAGTACAGACAAATGTATAGCAACAGTTCCCACAAGGGAAAAAGAAAAGTGTTAGCATACTTAGGCTGTTCTTTTTCAAGTGTGTGAGTGAAGCTGTGGGACCACAGATACCTGAATTTCAACATCTAAAAAAAAAATAAATGGGTGTTTCACATCACACACATTCTCCCCCAACTTCCGCAGGAATCCTACAAGGTGGTACTATTTCCCAACTTTACCGGGGAGGAAGCAGAGGTCCAGAATAGTAACACCCATTGGAATGGGACTGCAGACCCACATTTCAGGCTTCCTCCCCTCTGCTCTGCCTGCCAGATGGAATGTGTAAAAATCACCCAGAACTGAGGGACGCTCGGGTCCCATGCATGCCTGCAAATACCGATCTACCACCACCTTCTGTTTTCTCCTTTCTTTTTATCCGTCCAGATACCTTTGGAATTCAAAATGTGGAGCCTGAAAACTAAGGGCTCACACAGGCTCTGGTACCTCCCTATCTAACTGGAGAAAGAAGCTGTGAGGTCTGCAGAATGGAAATGGAACACATCGCTGCTTTCCCAAATCTTTTCACACCCTCGGTCAGCTTGTCTAGCAGCTTCAGGAACAAGGTAGTGTGTGCTGAAGTGGAGGGGGGGGGGGCGTGCAGGTGCTGCTGCAGGGGAAGTCTGCACCTGGCTGAGCAGTCCCAACACTGTTCCCGCTCCCCGCCCCACCCCTGCTCGCTCCAACACAGAAGCTGGCCTCAGGATGCAAATGCCGTCAGAGGCCAAGTCCACCAGCAAGAACCTGGTCAAAGGCCACGTCTGGCCAGGAGTGAGTCCTTCCATGAGCATCCACAGCTGTGGCCACCAGCCCACTGCCAGCATAGAGTGCTTCCTTTGGGAACTTACTACCTAATTGGATTTTAACTTCCAGCCCATTTTGTTTTATTTATTTATTTTTGTTTCATAATGACTTTGAACCTTAAACAGATCACTCCAGGAGACAGCACCCTGTCTTTCCTGGATACTTGCTCTGAAAATTTGGGAGGTAATCTTTCTGGTTGGATGTGCGTCTTGTTTTCATAAAGTTATGGGGACTTCTATCTTTAACCCTATTAGGTTCCCCAATACCCTGTTAGGTATCGATTTATCACATTGATAAAGTATACGTGAAATTACATGCAAATGAATGTTCCTGTGTCTATGTGGGGACAGGAGGAGAGAGGGCAAGGGTCAGAGGGAAACAGTCCCTGGGCATCCAAATGTCTGACCTGGACCAGACTGTCCCATCAGGGGGCCTCAGGAGGACTTAACACGACCTGCTTTTAGTCAGAGACGTGGTATTTTGGAAAAAAGTACATGTTTCCTTGTTTAACCTTGTAACCCGCTGTTTTAGTGTTAGTCATAAATTAAAAGATCCAAATTATTTTTGTGGATTAAACACAAAAGCAGTAAGTCATGGGAGGAGGGCTCACGCTCTGTCGAGTCAGCTCACTGATGGCCGCGGACACTGCCCTCAGCCAGTCGGCGTTCTCCTGGGCCGTGTGAAACTGCAGGAGCCCCGTGCTGGTGCCGTCGGGAGCCAGCACCTCGAACGCGCCGAACCTGCAGGGAGAGGGGAGCCTCGCTGTGCACACAGGCAGGGGTGTCGCCCACAGGGCCTCCGGCCCTGCCCAGAGCCACACGGGGAGACACGGGACCGCGCCGTCACAGGACCAACCCACTCCAGTTCGTACGTAAATTCACCAAAATTAAGTTTAGAACTGTTAGGCCCATCACTGACAGGCTATTTCTGCGTTAATAGGAAAGACGAGAGTCCCTTCGTGTAGGTCGTCACCCCTGCTCTTTCAGGAATCTGGGAGTTCTTGTGCTACAGGATCCGTAGTAAACATTCATCCCGAGACCATTTGTTGTGCTATTTGAGGCTCCAGACGCAAGGACGGCGGCGCCATCATCACTCGATGTGATGCACTCGATCTTATGATGCACGTGTTTCTGGTCACAAGGGAGCTTCCGGGAAGCTGGCTCTCCCTCCTGTTCCCAGGGAAACCGACGTGCCCCCCAGCCTCCCGAGGCACAGAACTCAGAGCGCAGGACAACTGTCTCTACTTTGGTAGTTCGTCCTCGTCACGCACGCCTTCTTCAAAGAAACTTCACACGTAACTCTGTGGTCGACCCACGTGTGTCCCTGCATTCAGCCCTGATCCCCTGTCTGGGCGTCTCTGGACATGGGGCCTCTGAGGAGGGAAGTAGCGCCGAGTGACGTCGTGAGGGCTGAGCCCAGACCCCGCAGGGCTGGAGTCCTTACAGGAAGAGACGCCAGAGCTCCCTCCCCGGCCGTGAGGTCACAGTGAGAAGATGGCTGTCTACAAGCCAGGAAGAGGCTGTGACACACCCGATGTGGACGTCCAGCCTCCGGAACATGAGGACATAAATGTCTGTTGTCTATGCGACCCAGCGAGCACTTAGCTGTGCAGCTCCACCCCACTAGTGAAACTCAGACAAAAGGTAATGTCATCCACACTTCTGTTCACTTCTCCTTAAGAAAACCATGTATATCAGGGCACCTGCGGGGGCTCAGTGAGTTGAGCATCCAACATCAGCTCAGGTCACGATGTCACGGTCTGTGGTTTGAGCCCCACATCGGCCTCTGCGCCAACAGCTCAGAGCCTGGATCTGCTTCAGATTCTGTGTCTCCCTCTCTCTCTGCCCCTCCCCTGCTCACACACACTCTCTCTGTCTCAAAAATAAATGAATGCTGAAAATTTTTCAAAGAAATAGACGTGCAATGACAGCATCACAGGAGAAAACCAACATAGTCAACAGACACTGCAGAGACAGCCAGAGGATCTAGTAAACAAGAACGAGAGCTGAAGTGAAGGGTCTGCTGAAGAGGCTGCATAGTGGATTTGAACTTGGTGGGCTGGCAGAGTCCACGCAACCCACAGACCAGGCAGAAGAAAGAAGGAAGAATCCCCATCAGAGGCTCTGAGAAGCGAGAGGCACTGGGGTGGGGGCACCAGCAGGAGGGAGACCAAAGGCAGAGAAAACCTTCCAAGAGCAGCAGTCGAAGCCTTCCCGACTTTTCTGGGTACAGCCTGTCAGCGCGCCTGGGGCCCAGGGGTGGCCCGTCAGTGCGCCCATGACCCGGGGATGGCCCGTCAGCGCGCCCATGACCCAGGGATGGCCCATCAGTGCACCCGGGGGCTGGGGATGGCCCGTCAGCGTGCCCATGACCCGGGGATGGCCCGTCAGTGCACCCGGGGGCTGGGGATGGCCCGTCAGCGTGCCCATGACCCAGGGATGGCCCGTTAGCGCACCTGGGGCCCGGGGATGGCCCGTCAGTGTGCCCATGACCCAGGGATGGCCAGTCAGTGTGCCTGGGGCCCAGGGATGGCCCGTCAGCGTGCCCATGGCCCGGGGACGGCCAGTCAGTGCTCCCATGACCCGGGGACGGCCCGCCAGCACACCCGGGGCCCAGGGATAGCCCATAAGCTCACCCATGACCCGGGGACAGCCTGTCAGCATGCCTGGGGCCCAGGGACGGCCCGTTAGCGCGCCCATGACCCAGGGATGGCCCGTCAGGTGCACCCGGGGCCCGGGGATGGCCCAGTGGTGCAGTCAGGACGCAGACTCATCCTACCACAGATTGAGGCCTTGGGTCATCAGGCCTCGGATGCTGAGCGTCCCAGACAGGGGTACGTAGTGAAACAGCTCATTCCTCATAAGGAGGCCGCAAGCTGACCTCCTGCAGAGGCAGGGGGCCCAGGGGGCAGGGGTGGGGGCAGGGGCAGGCACAGCACATCCCTAGGGCTCGAAGCCAGGTGCCCACTGAGCACCGGTGTTCCTTTTGAAGGAAACAGAGCCGCTGGTCCTGAACCCCAGGAGGTGTGGATGGAAACCGCAAGGCTGAGAGCAGGCGCCTCCTGCCAGTAAAGTGAATCCACGGGGAAGTAAACCAGTGCGCTGATGATGGAATTGTAAGATAGGATGCATGTCTTTTTCTCCTTTCTTTGCTTGCCTTGTTCTTTTTTTAAAGCAGGCTTCATGGCCAATGTGGGGCTCAAACTCACGACTGAGAGACACGTGTTCCACAGACTGAGCCAGCCAGGCGCCCCATTTCCTCCTTACTGTACATCACGTAAAAGCTGCTGTAGATAACACTGGGTCTCCGCTGGATGTATTGCTGGCCCTCACGATGAGGGAACGCACAGACCACGGGCATGTGTGTAACACACGTGATACGTGGGCCACGTACGTGCTCACAACAGGCCAGAGGACGCGCAATGCACTAAGGAATTGGTAACCGACAGTGAATTAATTAATTAGCTAATTAATTTTTGTAAGTGATGTGTGTACATAGCTTCCTGGCGGCTCTGGCGCTCAGAATATGCACCATAACTGATCAGAATCCACCCCTGCTGGGTCCTGTTTAAGCCCAGGGACACACAGAGTGCGTCCAGGACCCAGGGGAGCGTCCGCAGCCCAACACAATCCCCCACAGGTCAGGGTCACGGTCAGGGTCAGGGTCAGGGCCTCTAACCAAGGACATGTGTCCCCCTTGCCCGTGTGATGGGCTTCAAGATGCTGACCATGTCACAGAAAGCAAGTGCGGGAGAAGCAAGCAAGAGGCCGTAAGCAAGGTGTTTGCAAACCCAGTTCCCTGCAAAAACCGTCACTCAGAAACTTACCTTCAAAGAAAGCAACACAGATGAAAGATTATACAGATGCTGACGTCAATGCTGATGGTAGATACACAGTAATAACGTACGAGCAGGAAATTCACACTTTGGCTTATTGTCAGGAAAGCAGTGTTAACTAGAGTCAAGGACATGAATTTTGACGCACGCATGAACTACAGATTCCCACTCATTTCTTCCAGACCGATGCTGAGGATTCACTGTGTCAGCATTTCACGTGTCCCGTGTTCGGGCTCCTGTACAGGGCCCCTCCCACCGTGCACGGGAGGAACCCGGCCATGTGGCTCTGGAGTCAAGCATCTGCTCAGCTTTTTCGGGATTTTGTCCAATGGTCAAGGTCGTCGTCAGAGCTAAAGATCAGAGTACCCACCGCTCAGGCCCAGCATGCTCTGTGATAGTCTTGCCTCAGGTTGTGAGCGTCAGCAGAAAAGCTACACCTGTTCCCCGAGGGGGAAGGAAGCCACGTCCAGATACGGTTATCAAAGGGAGGTCGAGGCCTGGCCACGCCAAGGCTTCTGAAAAGCCTTTCCCTGACCCTGGACAGGAACCCCGGTGGAGAAGGGCTGCACAGGTGCGCCGTGTCCCTTGTGTGACTTGAGCCCCCCTCCCCCCCACTTTGGAGCTGAGGGACAGGGTGTGTGTTTATTCTGCTCGTGATGCAGAGTTAAGGGCATTCAGTAGACAAACTGGAAAGAAAATGTGGGTATGTCTCAGGGTTTGAAAAATTCGCTTTCACATACTGCTTTTCAAGACTGTCTCCCTGGCCTGCACATCACTTTTTAGTGGAAGCCAAAGAGACAGTCTCCTGTACTCTCCCCATCAGGCAGCAGCATTTGTAAGTACCCGTGTTACGCCTCTCAGTGGCCTCGTAAAGCAGGATTACCGTTCTGGTTTCCAACACTGGCGTCGACAGACCACGTCACCTGCTCAGGTGGGCAGCTGACAAGGTGGGGGCTGGGCTGCCGCACCCCAGCTCCCTCCAGGCCCACGCTCCGGACAGGGGGCCATGTGGGCGGTGCTGCGTCAGGACCCCTGCTCCCCGGCGGCTGAGCTGGGCTGGCCATCCCAGCAGGTCAGGCCCAGGAGCACGGTGTGCGGAGTGCTCCCAGACTCCTCGTAGCTGGATGAGGCCCAAGTCTGTAGGGACATTTCATTCTCTGTCAGCAAGTAGGAGCACCCTAACTTTCTATCCCTAAAATGAAACTTCCAGAAAACCTGCAGCCAGAGTGCTGAGAAAGAGAACAGCAGCCGGACGTGTGGGCGCTGCCAGCCGGTGTGTAGGGGATGGGGCTCCCCAGGGGGCCCTGCGGAGGAAGGCAGCTCGAGGGTCTTTCATGACCTTCCTGAGCAGAGACAGACGCCGTCCAACGACAAACACTCCAAACGCATCCCAAGGCGGACATGGCTGCTGACGAAGCTTCCCCCACAACACGCCTGGCGCCCCCGCCCACCGTCCACGAGCAGCCTCCTAGATGTAAATCAGGCCATGAGGAGCACGGGAGCGCGCTCTCTGGGCACCCAACGTGGATCAGACCCTGGGTTCCCGACGGTTCTCCTGACCACCGACTCCATCCACATCCTGTACAAGCGCTCGCCTCACTGAGATGCCCACAGCCCCCGGGACGCCGTCTCCCAGCTCCGCTCGGCCACACGGGCCCACAGGCAGCGTGAGGCCACTCCTGCAGGATTCCCAGCCACGGACAAGTCCCTTCCTGGCATGAGTATCTGAGCGTGAAACCAACCTGTGCCACACAGCCCGGAGTAGCTAGCAGGGTAGTCTTGACGGTACCGTTGCTTTTCAAAACGTTCGTGTCTGCAAGACCTTCTGGCTCCTGACGTGCTTTCTTCCTTTTCTTCCTTTTTACATGTTGATTTATTTTCCGGGGGGTGGAGGATCAGAGAGAGAGGGAGACAGTCCCAAGCAGGCTGTCAGAACAGAGCCCGACTTGGGTCTTGAACCCACAAACTCAGATCATGATCTGAGCCGAGGTCAAGAGTTGGACACTTAACCAACGGAGCCCCTCAGGCGGCTCTGCTTTGGAAGAAAGAACACACACACTGACAGCTCTGTCTTCTAAAGTGAAGTCGTCTCCTACGAAGAAACATGGACTCTCGCTGTAGTGATGACACAATTTCACTGTTACTTTCAAAAACTCAACAGAAGTGGAGCAAAAAGACCCAGAGTCAGAGTTTTGTTCCTTCCTCCTTCTCTCCCCCTTAGACCCCTCCTTCCTTGCTTCCAAGTTTCAGAAACAACTCTGTACTTTGTGGGGTTTTTTGGTAATAGTTTAATGTTTATTTATTTTGAGAGAGATACAGAGACAGAGAGGGAGCGGGAAAGGGGCAGAGAGAGAGGGAGACGTAGAATCTGAATCCAAGCTGTCAGCACAGAGCCCAACATGAGGCTTGAACCCACGTACCATCATGACCTGACCTGAGCCGAAGTCAGATGCTTAACCGACTGAGCCCCCAGGCACCTGTCCACATGGTCTTTGGGGCCAGCATTAAGCCACAGGCATAGAGAGTCTTGTCTGAGCAGGACCACAGAGGCCCGTGCCCTGAAAACCAGTCCAGATGTACCCAGTGCGTGCGAGAGAGACTCAGACTGTCTGACGCTCTTGGTGACAACCTCTCAAATCGTGATTGTCTTCCTGAGGTCAGACATTCCTACTCTGCAAAAATTAGGAATCGTTGTAAACTCACAAGCCTTCAGGACGCTTGGGAGCTCCTTTAAACCCACAGCGTTATTTTATGTGGCCTGCACGAGACCTTAGGAGGCAGTGAAGTATTAACGTCTTCTCCCAACTACTTGTTTAACAGACGCCTCGCTGGGTGAAGCCACGGGGCCCGGGAAAGGCAAAGGGAAACTGGCAATAGATTCATTCTCTCCCGTGCGCCGCACGCCTCCCCAGCCCTCAGGCGGCTGGTCTGAGTAGAGCACAGGCTCTCTGGAAGCTTCCTGGGATGACCCTGGACATTCTGCACGCACGCTTCTCTTGGTCCTAAAGGTGTTCTGTCTGCCTTTGCTTTCTAACCCCCAGCGCACACACCTCGACGAAAACCCGGGTCCTGGAATCCCAAACCAGCATCCTCTCAAACGGACCGGGTGAAGCACAACCAAGCACAGGCGGAGCCAATCACGTGTTTAGAGGACACCCCCCGAGACATCTCTGGACAGGCACTTGCTGCCCAGGCAACGGGTGGGTGGAGCCGCCGCAGGCAGGGTCTAGACCAGCACCCGTGGGGCCGCGGGTCCTCACCAGTCCTGCACCTGAACTCAGGGTCTGAAATCCGCGGCTCCCGTCAGGGATATGGTCTGGCTGGCCTGACCTGGTCCTTCCGCCGGGGTCTGCAGGTCAGGGATGGGAAGTCAGGGTGCCATGCAAGGAAGCCACCTGCTGCTGCCCGGCAGGTGTGTGGCCGTGTGGCACGGAACGTGGGGCCACGTGGCACGGAACGTGGGTGAGCTCCAGCAGTGACCGCGGCCCTGGCCCAGAGTCCTAGGCACTCGAGGAACTGAACTCTGCCCACAACTGGAATGCCCCTGAAGAGGCCCCAAGCGCAGACGAGGTGAGTCGGGTCAGCAGCGGAGCCCCCGGCGAGGCCGAGCACACGGCTGGCGCACCTGCCGACGCCGCGGGGCCGCGGGATAACAGGCCTGTGGTGTTTGGGCGGCAAGTGCACAGGCCACAGGACAGAACTCAGGCTGCGATGCCACGGCCTCATCTCGTCGGTGCCCACGGCCTCCTGTCAGTCCCTGAAGCTGGGCGTTAATGTCAGTTCTGTCAAGACAAACCTGTTTCAGAAAATGCAGTTTGAGTCCCAATTCAGTGTTTCGCTTTTGCACCGTACCTCCTGCCTGAATTGAAACTTTTGCTTAAAATTATGAAAAAGGTCAGCAAAGCTAAAGACATGCGGCCTTCAAACCAACACACTCTTGTCCCGTGAGGGGCTGAGGGCCCGTGTGCTGGTGGCTCTGTGGCATTTCCCCTGGGACAGGAGAGTCGGGTGGCGGCGAGGCTGGCGGTGCAGCCCTCCTGAGCCGCGTGTCATCCGTGGGCACAAGGTGCTCGTCGCAGCAGGTGCCCGCTGGAGGCCTGATGAGTTGGCCTCCCGTTGCCAGGAACAGCCGTCTTGAGCCCCTCCCCCCACCGGCCACGGGGCGGCTGGCAGCACCCAGTCAGGCAGCAGTTTTCTGTCCTGCACCCTGCAGACGACACAGGGGCACCGCGGCCTGTGGGAGATGAGAGCACTGACCCTCCGAGCAGAGGCTGGTCTGGATCTTCCGTCGGTCACGTGGGAGAGCAGCGCGGCCAGCTGGTACTGGGCAGGGATCAGTGGCCCTGGCTCTCCAGAGCCTCTTGTTCAAACACAGGGACGGGCAGAGCCCAGAGCGAGAGCCCTCGGCCTCCCGTCTCCCAAATAAACCAGCCCAACCAAGACTGGTTGTAAGAGAAACACACACACACACACACACACACAGATACACACACACACACACACATACTCTCACACACTCACACACATCCTTTAAGAGGGCTCTGTGGCCATGAGAGCACCCACCTTACTATCTACCTACCTATCCACATAGCCATCTATCTCTTCCCACCTCCCTAACTTTTCAGGTCTACTTTTTCCAAATGGCCACACATTTAAAACCCAAACTCAGAGCTGGCATTCATGCCACGGTGTCTCCAGCGCCCTTTCACGGACGTGCACGTTCACTGGAAGAGTAACGTCAGTGATGCCAGGTAGTACTGAAAATCAAATGTAACCATTCGTCCAAAAGCATTATTAGGTAGACTTCCTCCTTCACTGAAGGACCAGAGAAGAGAACCTTGGACTCCGTCTCCCCTACCCCGCACATGAGCATGCACACGGGCGCACACTCACAGGCAGGGGTGTACACGCACACGGGCACACACGTATTTTATCTACGACAGTGCTCAATTTCACAACAGCAAGCTCCTCCCTTGCCGACAGACCACGGCCCCCCCAGTTTTCAGCACACCTGCCCTACAAGCAAAAGGCGATTCACCACATACTTGCTGGCCTTTCCGCGGTGGTTAGCTGCCGGGGACACACCGTACCGGGTAAGAGAGCAGAACGCTCTCTAAGTCCACAAAAACAGTTATGGAAATACAACCTTTATAGACAAATCGTTGAAATGGATTAACCAAGGTACTGAACACTGATGCCAGTCTAGTCTCTCCTTTTCTTAATGATGACATGAGGCCCACAGAGTTTAAATGACTTTTCTGAAATCATTTGCAACTTGGACAAGATGCAGTCTTATTTCCAATCTAATCCTGTGAATATTTACAATTTACAATTCTAACAATCTACGATTCAAAAGAACGAACACGAGTCACCTCATACCTCAGGGCTTGAGAACTGCCCCTAACAATAAGCCCACAATGGCTCTGATACTGTTTCTTTTCAGTGCCTAAATCTCCTCCCCCTTGGCATTTATTTATTTTGCAAGGCACTCGCTCCGCCGGAAGACAATCACACGCACTTGCCTAATGACACAAACACTCTGGAGCCGTCGGCGGGCTCCGGGGTCTGCAGGGTCCCTCTTTCCGACAGTGGTCACACACCTTGATTTTTCCGTTCCAGCCTTGCACCTGGAGATCCGGGCCATACACAGAGGAACTGACATTGTGTCCAACCAGCGCTTCTCATAGTGCGGCTCACTGGCTACGGGCGAGGAAGGTGAGGCTGGATCCTGTGCACGATAAATGAGAACCAAGAGTCACAGAGTCAACAGTCAGCACCGAATGCAGGGACAGCCACCAGCATCATGTCCCCTAACACTCAAATTAAATACATTTCAATTGTTTAAAAAGCATGTGACCATTTTCTCAAAATCTAGAAAGAAATAAGTGCTCTCCTATGTGATTTTAAAGTAATTCTCTCTTTTGTTAACAAAACACCGAACAGAAGAGAAAGGTCAGAGGGGAAGCTTGGAGAAGGGGCGGAGTGAGTCCAGGAGGCCGAAGCTCATGGCCACGCCAGTGTCAAAGTGGAGCGCCTCCTGGTCCCAGAGACAGAATGCACTAGCGCTGATCACGTGCACAGCGCCCGGGGCCGGAGGCCACACTCTCCGCCGGGCGTGAGCACAGCGCAAAGCCGGCAGGTGCGGAGGGCGGCTCCTTCTCTGCAGAGCCTGCAGACGACAGGAGGGTGCGTGGAACATGCAGAACGTGTGCAAACAAGAGACCCGACCGTGTGCTGCTGCAGGAGTCCACTCGCGGCAGGATCGGAGGTGGGTCCAGGCAGGAGGACCCCAAATTCCTGTCTGGGTTCTCAGGGAGTGACCAGTAGCAGCCTGATCCGTCTTCCTGTGGAGTCCCTGGCCCAGGATGGAGATGGCAGCCCTGGGTAGGGGTGAGGCATCTGGCCAGCACGCAGGCTCCCGTGCACACAGCAGCCCCCACCTCAGCACCACCGGCTCCAAATGCAAAGGGCCAGTTCCCCGGAGTTCCCAGCCGTCCAAGTTTGCATAAGAAATTGACAGATGGGGACGGCTGGGGGGCTCAGTCAGTTGAGCATGTGACTTGGACTCAGGTCATGATCTCACAGTTCATGGGTTCGAGCCCTGCATCGATAAGGCTCTGTGATGACAGCTCAGAGCCTGGAGCTGCTTCAGATTCTGCGCCTCCTTTCTCTGCCCCTCCCCTGTTCCTTGTCTCTTTCTGTCTCTCAAAACTGAATAAAATGTTAAAAAAAAAAAAGAAAAAGAAAAAAGAAAAAAAAGAAAGAATGAAAGCAGAGCTTCTCAATTCTATTTTCTGCCCCCAACTTAGTATCAGCTTAGTAGCTTGCAGGAGCAGGGAGGTGCGTCCCCACAGCTGACCCGAGCGCCCTGGGCCGTGCCTGTCAGCCCGTTACAACCCGCACAGGTGAGGCAGGGGACACAAAACGCGCCCTCGCCTGCTTGCGCTGTGATGCAGCCCAAAGTTGTCAAAGGACGGGCCATTCTGGAACATCGATGTGTGACTGACCGAGCCCAGGACCTTTCCCGTGTCCTGCTTTAGTGACCACGAGATGGGTTCTGAACCAACCTGCAACCTCGGGGCAGCTGGGGACCGGGAGGCGCAGCAGCCGGGCAGGTGCATCAGGGGTGGGTGGTGGGTGGGGGCGCCCCTCTGCAGGGGGGCCTCACGGACCCTCCCCAGGGCAATGTCTTCCCTCTGGTTCCCCAAGAAGCCACACGAGGGAGGTATTTTAGAAACTCGAGAAAATAAAGTACTTATAATGTTACAGAATCTGGTCTGGATCAGCCAGCAGAAGAACCAAGCGGCACTCGGAGATCTTGGAAGGGAGGAGGCTGACTTTATGCCGGTGCGCTCGGAGGAGATCATTCTCCAGAGGTCTGAGCCCAGAGCACGAGCAGAGGGAACAATTTATAGCCCGTTATTTCCGCATTCCTTGTGGGGACAGGTGTTACCTATTCGTGTCGGCCATCTCCTAACAGACTTTCCCTATCAATAATACAAGACTTGCAAAATGTCTGGAAATGAATGAAAGGAGATGAAAGATGATACCTCCCAGTATGTTGCCACACACAGCACAGAGAGCCACACGTGGCATACGGCACGTCGGTTCCTGCTCCCCTCAGGCACACACCCACGCGTGTCCACACGGAGGCACCACCACCACCTCAGTCCACATTCTCTGATTACGGTAGAGGTACGACCACACCCTTCACATTTGGGAAATTCAAAACTATAAAACAGAAAAAAATTCGATCCAAACCTCATCAAACACTTTGTGGATTTCCTGATTATCTTTTTCCTAGTCTCTTTAAGACTTAGAGTGACACTGTAATCACTACCAGGACACGTGAGAGCAGAACGCTTATGGGTCACCATGGTACGGAGTGGGACTCGAAGACAGACATCTGCGCTCGGGGGCAGAGCACTTTCTGTTTAATAAACTCTGCTCCTCGAGGGCGATGATGATTTGTCCTATTTCTTCCGTGTGTCGGGAGAGCTCCCTCTTGCTCAGTAACTCCCTTGGAACGATGTCTAGATTTAAATATACCTTTGCAATTATTAGCACTTGCTGGGAGAGAACACGGTGTTTGCACGTCTTACAGGATTACCTAAGACGCCTGAGGGCTCGTCTGAAGAGCGGAATGCAGGCTGGCCCGAGACACTGACCACCTAGTGGGAACAGCGACGGCCGCGAGCAGATAGGACAATTCTGCAGGAATGAGGGTCAGCAGAGGTGGTGCCGAGCACCTGATTCAGTGAGCGGGTGAGCAGGAGCTGAGAGTGAGGGCGAGCGGAGCCCCGTTCTCGTCTGCGCCGACCCCACCAATGCCATGTCTTCAACTCTGCTGTACGCCGGAGTACGTCTTCAAGTCATTTGCTTAAAGGCTTATTAATTTATTTTGGGGGGTGGGGAGAGCACATGTGCAGGAGGGACAGAGGGAGAGAGAGAACCCAAGCAGGCTCTGTGCTGTCGGTGCAGAGCCCAATGCGGGGTTCAAACTCATGAACCATGAGGTCATGACCTGAGTCTAAATCAAGAGTAAACCACTTCACTGACTAAGCCAAGTAGATGCCCCGAGTCATTGGTTTTGTGTTTTTTTTTAAGAAAAAAAAAAATACTAGCTGTCTTAATACTTTATGTTTAAATAAAAGATTTGAAAGCAACTTTGTAGGTGTTGCTGTCTTACTCCTGCTCTGGATGACTAGGCCGTGCTGGGGGGCTGTGGGCCGTGCTGGGGGGCTGTGGGCCGTGCTGGGGGGCTGTGGGCCTCGCTGGGGGGCTGTGGGCCTCGCTGGGGGGCTGGGGGCCTCGCTGGGGGGCTGGGGGCCGTGCTGGGGGGCTGGGGGCCTCGCTGGGGGGCTGGGGGCCGTGCTGGGGGGCTGGGGGCCTCGCTGGGGGGCTGGGGGCCTCGCTGGGGGGCTGGGGGCCTCGCTGTGGGGCTGTGGGCCTCGCTGGGGGGCTGTGGGCCTCACTGGGGGGGCTGTGGGCCTTGCACTTCATCCTTCTGTTTCACTGAACGGTATTGAGGCCTGAGCTACCTACAACATGTACTAATGGAGGAGCACAGTTTGACCAGTTTTGACAGATACACCCCAAGTCACCAGAACCTAAATCATGACACAGGCTAATTCTGCCCCATCCACATCCCACAAGCCTTGTCCCCCATAAAGTTCCCTGTGGCAGCTGTAGGCAATTCCTGCCCTCCAGCCATGGCAGTCAGCGACCTGATTTCTGTCAGATCAGCTACATTAGTGTTGACTCTTAGAACTTCTACAAATAGGATCACGCAGGAAGCATCTGCACAAGGCTTCATTCAGCAGGAAAAGTGTGAGATGTATCCCAGATGATGCACTTCCATCAGTGAGTTGTCTTCTGCTGTTTGCATGTGCCTGCATTTTCCATCCACTCACCAAAGGAGGTCCTGGCTCCTTCCAGTTGGAGGACATTATAAACACACTGACTGTGTGGTCAGTTACGTCTTGTCTTTGCATGACGTGCGGCTTGTGCTGCTGGGGCAAACCTCACTTGCTCACCATGCGGTTCCCTCTGGATGTTTTCACTTGTTGATGACCACTTTTGCATCTGCATTCGTGAGGGTTACTGTCAGTAATGTCTGTTACTTATAATGTCATTGAAAGGTTCTGGTATCTGTATAATCCTGGCCTCACAGAATTAGGGGGATACATTTCATCTTCCTCTATTTTCTGAAAACCTGTGGAGGTCACATATTATTTCTTGACATAATTCACCAGTTACAAAATAGTTGAGTTTACAGTCCTGAATAGTGCCTTGCAGCCCTGCATGTGACCTTGGTGAACGTTCCATATTCACCCTGCCGGCTTTCGGTGTGTTCCCTGCAAAAGGCAGTTAGGTTCCAGTTGATTCATAAGGTTGATTATGTCCTTTCTGTCTTTACTGCTGTTTTGTCTACACATTGTATCAACTTCTGCACAAAGACTATTAAAATCTCCAAATATGATAATGGGTTGTCCAATTCTCATTTCTATCAGGTTTTGGTTCATGTATTTGGAAGCTCTATTACTGGGTGCATACCATATTTAGGATTATAATGTTTTCCTGATGAACTGATTCTTTAATCACAATGAAACATTTCTTTGTTTTTTAGACACTCCTTATCTTGAAGACTACTTGGTCAGACATTAACAAAGCCAGCTTTTTTGGTTGCTGTCTATAAAATACATATTCTCTACTCTTTTTACTCTCTACCTGTATCTTTATATTTAAATAATATTTCCTGTGGTAAACAGAATTGGATCTTTCTAATCAGTCTGATAATTTCTGTTTTAATTGGAATGTTTAGTTTGTTTACATTTAATATAATTCTCATGTCACTGGGTTTAATTATGTATTGCTAATTTGTTATTTGTTCCTCTTGGGCTTTCTCCTACTTCACTGAACATATTCTTTTAGGGGTTAGTTAATTTTTTTCATTATTCTTTTTTATCTCCTCATTGGCTATACGGATCATAATACACATTCTTAATTTATCAGTTTCGACTCTGAGTCAATACTGCATTGCTTCAAACCTTGTATCTGATACATCCTCCTTCCCACACCTCACTTCACAAGTGTCAGGATCTCACAGCAGAGCAGCTCAGGGTGCCTGGCCCCCACCCTGGGTGCTATTCTTGCCGTGTCTCTCATGTCCATCTACATCACCACCACCACGTCACTGGGGTATCATTCTGTCCTCTGAACTATCGT